TTTCTTTCTTTCTTTCTTTCTTTCTTTCTTTCTTTCTTTCTTTCTTTTCTTTCTCTCTCTCTCTCCTTCTCTTTCTCTTTCTTTCCTTTCTTTCTTTTTTCTTTTTCTTATCTTTATTTCTTCTTTTTTTCCAGACAGGGTTTCACTTTGTAGCCCTGGCTATCCTAGAACTCACTCTGTAGACCAGGCTGGCATCTAACTCACAGAGATCTGCCTGCCTCTACCTCTCTGAGTGTTAGAATTACAGGTGTGTGCCAACACCACTTGATGCTTACTGAGTTTCCAAGGGTGCCACAAAAAAATGAATAGGGCTATGAGTAACAGAGGCAAAACCCGCAAGACACCTGGGATCACAGTTCTCTCCCTGCCATAGGGCTGTGTCTCCCCTCCCTTAACCTCTTCCACTACAGGGCCTCACATCCATTTCTCACTTCCAGGAAGGAAGAAATCTAAGTTTAAAGCCTTTAAGCTATTTTTTGGCAAGAAGAAGAAGAAAGAGACAGAAGATGTTCCAGAAGGGAAACTTCTAAATCCAGGATTTTCTACCAGCACTGTTAATGTGTCTTCTCTGAAGCCAGTTCTGGAAACAGAAACAGAGAACAAGTAAGTCCAGATGGCGTCAAGGGCTGGGGATCCAGCTGGATCCAAAACAAGCACAAGCAGGTAGAACAGTCAGACTCCAGGCTTACTCTTCATGAGGACTTTGTGGTCCATTTCATAAAGTTGGGATGACTCAAGTCATGCACGGGTTCGGTCTTTTGGCCTAGTTTGCTTGCCTTACCCTTACGTTGCAGATCTGGTCAATGGGATCCAGATCTTATAGTAAGGAATAAAATCTCAGGATGCTGAGCAGTTTAGCATAAAAGAGCTTAAGCATAAAACCTTTTGTTACTGTAAAAGCACACACACAAACTAGCAAGCTCAATCCATTTTTCATCCTCCTCAGGACACTGGGTGGTCAAAGGGCTATGGGGAGGATTCTTTGGCAGCCACTCAATCACACCCATTCACATTCTTACATGTGGTGTTTCAATTTAAACTTCACATTTCTCTTTCATTGGGATATCCTGTACCTGCAGCTGTCCCTGGATCAATCAAATCTTTCTATGGCACACCCTTTAGGCCATTTCTCATGACATTAAACTGCAGATATCTAAAGGTGGCACAGAGTTCATTAGTGCTCCTAGCCACCCTCTGAGTTTCTGCCATGCTGCGATTCCAGCAATATTCCCCCAAACACTTCCTGTGGCATGAAATAGGTATACGGTTCTTTAGTGAGTATAACTACCATGAATACTTTCAGATAGCCTTGCCAAGGGGAAGGGTGTTGGATAAAAGGGTTTATTTCATACGTTACAAGTAATGCCATTGTAGAACATTGTCTCAGAGTTCAAAGCAAGACTATAACCAGGCTGTCTAACACCAGAGGGGTGGGGTAATGAGGAGCTGTCTGCTTTACCTTGCATTGTTTCTGCATGGTAATGGTCATTTCTACAAAAAGTTTAACTTCTCCCTCCAAAATGGTCCATTAACTCTGCTGTATTTGCCACACTAAGAAATGTTGAGAGAGACAAAAAAAGGGCAAGGAGAGAGAAATATTTTTGCAAAGAGCATAAATTAAATAGAGTATAACTTAAGAGCCTGAAGATCACAGGCTTTGTCCCTTGCTTAATGTACTAGGACAAAAACCTTCAAGAATATCACTTAGGAAGAGAGTTCAGGGTTTTTAATCCATCTAAACAGTCAGTCATAAAGCTTACAGCCAGCTGGTTGTGGTGGCATAAGCCTGCAATGCCAGCACACAAGAGCCAGAGGCAGGGTGATCTTCACATGTTTGAGGCCAGTTTGTTCTACATAGAAAGTTCCAGGCATGAAACCCTGTTTCATGCAACAGACAAAAACAAAAAACAAAAACAAATGAACAAACAAACAAAAAAACCCTAAACATTTTAACATAGTATAACCCAAAGATATACTAGTTTAATATTTCCATGTTGAGGTATGACAGTAGGAAAATACTTGTCTTTCCTATAATTGAGCCATTATGTTTCTGTAAGAGTAAAAAAAAAAAAAAAAAAAAAACAAAACACTGTAGGTATAACAAAAACATTGCAGTTCTTATCATATGCTAGTCTCGAATCTGAGCAGAGGTGTTTCAGTGTTCACTGGCACTGTGTGGCATGCAGACTGCAGAGTGCATGTGTTCCATGTTCAGAACCAAGACTGCAGTGAAAGCTCACCATGCAACATGGATTTGCCCTGCCAGAAACACCCCGTATTTATTATGCAGTTGGTTTCAAATTATGCTTTTAGTCATTGTACCTTACCAATTGTGTAAACCCATGCAGGACTGTTACTCAGAGTTTAAAACAACAGGGCTTTACGGTCACCATTCCGGCATGGATAGTGGAGGGGGGTTATGAGGCTCTATCTGTAGCTGAGGGGCTCCTGGCAGTCAGTGGCTAGTAGAGAGTGTCAGTTTTGAAGAGGGGTGTTCTCTGGTAGGTTGTGTCCTGGTGGACGGTCCCATATCCTTGTGTATATGGGATGAATTAACTGGAAACAGTGGATTTAAAGGGTGGCCATGCAGAGAAGAGGGAGAAGTGGGAAAATATAGGGGAGTTGAAGAGGTAAGGGGGTGAATACTATTTGGTTATTGAATCCCAAGTGGTCCACCCTGAGAACATAAGCAAATAAGCAACAGTAAATGGTCTCATCGGTTTATTTTTTTTAATATTTATCATTTATTTATTTATATATGTAGTAATAGTAATTAAAGAAAAAAGCCATGAATGTGAGAGGGAGAGGGCATGGGAGCGGCTAGGGAGAAGAAGGGAGAGGGGCAAATATGTACCTATATTTAATTAAAAATAAAAAAAATGAAAGAATATGGAATATATTGCATGACATTATCAAAGAATAAAGTAAATAAATAATTTTTAAAAGAACAGGTTTTCTATCAAAAAGAAAAAAAAAAGAAGCTGTCCTTTAAGCAACCATCTTTAAATGGAGACTAGAGAAGCAGATGGGGCTTTAGGAGTAGCACTTACCCTGTAGTGAGGCTGCCAGGGATCAGGCAGTAAACATGAGATGCTGACAAGTTCATGTAACAAGGAGTAGAACAAACTCACTTGGAGGCGGCTTGAGATGCAGCAACATAGAGGGAGCGAGGGTCCTTTGCATTGCTGCACTAGCCTACTGCTTGCTCTGTCTTCCTGACTTCTCTCCTTCCACTACTTCGTTTCTGAGTATTTAATATCACTCTCAATCTGCATTGTCATGTTTCCACACCTGTATGTTGACTGGTTGGCAAACAGAGTCCCATGTCCCCGAGAGCATCTTTTGTGCCATTATCTGTCCCTTTGTTTCTAACATTTCTCCAAGTTATTTTGACACACACTTGCCATTCTTGATTGGAAAGCATTTTTAGTTGACTCTGGGTAGGGAATGCATGAGTGGTGCATAAGGATGATTCCTAGAATAGGATGGATGTTTCCTTAAGGTCTTGAGAACAACAACAATAACAGCAACAACAACAATAAAAAAATTAACAAAGAAAAAGAAAGCCTATATCTTGGGACCTATTAGATGGTTCAGTGGGTAAAGGTGGTTGTTGCTAAGCCTCCAAGCTGAGTTTCATTCTAGGCACTTACGTGGTAGAAGGAGAGAACTGACTCCCCAAGGATGTTCTCTGACCTATCTATGTTCACACACACACACACACACACACACACACACACACACAATAAATAAATAAATAAATAAATAAATAAATAAATAAATAAATAAATGTAAAAAATTAAAAAATAAAAAGACAAAACAAATTAAAGCAAAAACACCCAAGGGAAATTTTAGTGTGAAAGATTTTTTTAAAAACCCCTTTTAATTTCTGAAGATTGTTGGTCCTGAACTGTATGATATATGGGTGAATTGTATGACAAGCCCCTCTCAGAATTTATCTGTAAAACATATACAAACAATTTCATTACTTCTTTTAATATTGGAGGTTATGATATAATTACATTATTTTCTTGTTCCCGTTCCTCTCTCCAAGTCCTTCCGTATACCCCTCATTGCTTCTATAATGATTATGAGCTATAACAAAGACTAGCATACACACATGGTTTTAAAACAGTAAATTTAAACCAAAGCACAAGGCAGAAAATGAAAAACCCTCTCATTTCTTTAGGTTCCTTCTTCAGAGGGACTAACCACTAATAGTCTGACAGATATATACCCAGCCATTTTTTTTTAACATAAACTAAACTATGTACGTACGTATGTATGTATGTATGTATATAGGTATGTATGTATGTGTGTATGTATGTATATAGGTTTGTATGTATGTGTGTATGTATATATGTATCTGTGTGTATATGTTGAACGAGTCCATATTTTTCTTTATTCTCACTCCACATCTCACAGATGGTTTTCTGTGCATCCTTGTGCTCCTTCTGAGATCTCTATGGTATCTATAGCATGAAAAAACCTTGTACTTCAGTTCTTAATTCCTTGGACTGCTTTGACAAGACTTCTCCTTTCTACATAGGCCTAAGAGAAGCATGGGAGTCAAGGCCATATCCCATGAGAGTGTCTTCTGTTTGGAGCCTGAGCCTGAAAAATCAGCAAGCAACCAGCAATCTTCCATGCAGGCCCAGAGAGGCAGATCACTGAAGGTAACAATGAAATTGACCTCAGTCCCGAGACACAATTCTTCTATCCTGCCCCCTCCCCAAAGGAGGGGGGATTTGATTCTGCTTACCAGTTGATTCTACTTCACAGGCATATCTTAAACATCAAATAATACAATATTTAAATAGGCACTTATTTATGTAACTTTGCCAATGCAGAGTGTTGGCTGCTGTGAGTGTATTTATTTAATATACTCCAAGGATGCTGTCATTATTTTGATATTTATGTGCTAGCATGTCAACCCCCATGCTTTTCTCTCTCTCTCTCCTACAGAGATTTCCCATTTCCAGAACTTTGCCTAGAGTCACAGGAACTGATGTCTTTGAAGCTTTTAGTGGATCTATGGACTTGTATATTCCCAGAAGTAGAATCTGGTTCTCAGGCTCCAATATTACTGAGGTAATACCGTGGAAATTTGTGTGGCATGAACAGCTAAGTCAGATAGACAAATTGTCATAGTGAGGGTTGCTATTGTTGTGCAGAGATGGCATGACCATGGCAACTCTTATAAAGGGAAACATTTAATTGTTGCTGGCTTATAGTTCAGAGGTTAGTCCATTATCATCACAGTGGGAAGCACAGTGACATGCAGGCAGACATGGCACTGGGTAGGTAGGCAGCAGGAAGAAGAGTGTGACACTGAGCTTGGCTTGAACATCTGAAACCTCAAAGCTTTCCCCCAGTGACATACTTTCTCCAACAAAGCCACACATACTCCAGTGAGGCCAGACCTCCTAATAGTGACACTCCCTGTGGGCCATTTTTATTCAAATCACATTTTATTCTCTGGCCCCCATAGGCTTTTAGCCATATCATAGTCCAACTTCAAAAGTCTCCATCATCTATCACAGTATCAGCACTGTTTAAAATTTCAAAGTTCAAAGGCAGAGGATATACATTACCATTTTAAAATGGAGGAAAGGGAACATAAACAAGTAAATACTGGACCAAAGCAAGACTGAAAACCAGCTGGGCACACTTTAACCTCTGCATCTCTATGTCTAATGTCAAAGTGCTCTTCAGATTTCCAACCCCTTTCAACTTTGTTGACTGAAACACACTTCTCTGTCTTGGGCTGGTTACATACCCTGTTAGCAGCTTTTCTTATCAAGTGTCCCATGGCTTTGGCATCTCCAACATTTTGGGGTTTCCAAGACAATCCAGGCTTCACCTTCACAGCTTCACACAATGGCCTTTCTGGGCCTCCATGCAGGGACATCCCTGAAACATGCCTGGCCTCAGTGGCTTTCCTTAGACACTGTGGGAGATTCCATAAGTCCTTTCTTCTACCCTTGACTCTAAAACCAGAACCATGTGCCTGAAGCTGTCAAGTTCTGCTGCATGCTTGGGCTAGAACATGGTCCCCTTGTTCAATTACATCTTCACCAGCTTTCTAGTTTTGATGGTTTCCTTCTGCTTAAACTTGGCTGTCCCAGAACTTGATCTGTAGATGAGGTTTGCCTTGAACCCTGAGATCCATCAGCGTGTGCCTTCTGAGTACTGGGATTAAAGATTTGCACCACCATGCCTAGCCCTAAGAATCTCTTTAATTCCATTTCACAAGTGGGAAGCTGAGCTGGGTGGGGTCTTGCTCTGAGATCACCACTCACTCTATTCCACTTAGCAAGAAGGTTTTCTTTAATCTGTTTACACTTCCTGGTGCCTTCTTTCTCCTCCAACTGTACATTTTGTATTTTTCCTTGCCCAGATTGATCCTTTTCATTATAGATCTACATAAGACTGGCCACTAACACACATGTACCACAGCCAATGGTAGGCTCTGCCAAAGCAGGTAATCCATAACCTTTCAATTTAGTCTCAGGCAGACTCTTCAGTCAAGGGCAAAAAGCAGTCACATTCTTCACCAAGATATCACAAGAATGGTGTCTAGGCAACATACTAATTTTCTTCTTCCCTGAAACCTCTTGAGCCAGGCCCACACAGTTTAAATCACCTTTCAGTCTCTCTGTCTTCCATGCTCCTACTAAGATGGCCCATTAAGTGCCACACAGAGCATGCAGCTGCTTTTCTAATCCAAAATTCAATGTTCACATTCCTCCAAACAAAAGTATAGTCAGGCCTATCAGAGCAGTACCCTAGTCTGAGGTACCAACTTTTGTTTTAGAGTTTCTATTGCTGTAAAGAGACACCATGACCATGGCAACATTTATAAAGGAAAACATTTAATTGAGGCTGGCTTACAGTTCAGGGGTTTAGTTCATTGTCACTATGGAAGGAAGCATGGCTGAACTCAGGCAGTCATTGTTCTGCAGAAGGAGCATGAGTGTTCTACATCTTGATCAGCAGGTAGCATGAAGAGAGAGTGAGCCACTAGGCCTGCCTCAAGCTTCTGAGACCTCAAAGCCCACCCGCCTAGTGACACACTTCCTCCAACAATGGCATACTTACTCCAACAAGACCACATCTCCTAATAGTGCCACTCCCTAAGGGTCTATAGGGGACATTTTCATTCAAACCACCACACAGGTCTTTGCTTGAATCCTTGCTCTGTAACTTACTGGCTGTAAGACCATGCTCTAGATTCTTAACTTCTCTGAGCCTTCCTTTCCTCATCTACAATACACAGTATTAATAGCCCACTCAAAAATTTGCTTATGATGATTGAGTGAAGTCATTCAAAGGCATGGAGAAACAGCTTAGTGGTTAAAAGCACTAGATTCTCTTCCAGAGAATCAGGTTTGATTCTCAGCACCTACCTCATGAAAGCTTACAATCATCTGTAACTCCAGTTCCAGGGGGATTCAATATCTTTCTCTGACCTTCATGGGTACCAGAGACACGGTGCAGACATACATGCAAGAAAAATGTTCACATATGTAAAATAAACATAAATATGTTTAATAAATGTTTTTTAAAAGAAATTATTGAAGACCACCAAGCTAGAACATTGTTCACTTAGAAATGTGTTTCAGGTGTGTGAATTTCAAAATCCACAGGCTTCCTCTTACCCCACTTTCAAACATGCTCTAATTTTTCATATCTGTGCAGACACAGCAGCACTCTTATGGTCCCAGCAAAGTATGTTATTTACATAAGACAATCCCTTACTTTCATTTAATCCTAAACTTTTAAGATGCATTCATTCTTCAGCCAGACACTTCTGTAACTCTGATCCAAGAATGCTCTCATGGAGGAGGAGTAAATGCCAGGACATCTGCTTTTACCAGCTTGTCTTTCATTTGTGGGTGGGTTTCTGCCCAAGCATCCTTGTGAAACTGGGCAGGCTGCACAAAGAAGGCATTCTCCCCTGGGAAAATCTTTTGGTTTGGTATTTGGTGGAGAGTAAGTCAGATTTACTTCTGAGAGGTCTGTTTGAGGCTTCACGTGACTGACTCTGGTTTATGCAGCCTGTGAAAATTCTGCCTGATACTTTAATCTTGAAGGGCCGAGAAGCCAGCACTGAGATAATCAGCAGAGGATGAGGCTCTGTGGCTGGGGGTCCCTAGCATTAGTGGATTGTTGTCTTCTTGCAGCATACTATGGAAAGCCTATTCTCTTATACTTTCTGATATATGTCCCAAAATAGCAACACCAGCTTTTGCAGGCCTATAGTTACACCCCTTGCTCCCTCATGGCCATGACAAGGGCCATGGGTTGTTTCTTATATTTGGAAAGAAGCAGCTTGACTCTTCCTCCTGTTTTAGTCTCAGCAACAGAGAAACTTGCGTAGCAGAGACATTCACTTAAGAACTGTTATGCCTAAGTCTTGCAGACCCCAAAGACCACCAAGGAGCCTATATTTGTGGGGGATATATGCACATTAGTGCAAGAGCCAACAGGAGCCAGAGGTGTTGAGCTCCCCTGGTACTGGAGTTACAGACTCTTGTGAGCCACCTAATGTGAGTTCTCTGCAAGAGTTTTACATGCTCCTAATCACCACATAATCTTTCCAGCCCCAGGGTAGGGTTCTTAGAAGATCATGAATGACATTCACAGCATCTAGAGATTGTGAGGGTGGAAATCCAGGAATTAGTTGATTCTGAAATGCTAAGATTGAGCCAATTTTAGTCCCTTCCAGACATTCACCTGATGTACCTCTCTGATGTGGTGCAAATATGTGTGTTTAGATGAGGTTTTCATTATTTGATTAAAAACAGTTCAAAAGTGATAAAGTATTTTTTATGTGTTTTTTTTTTTTTTTTTTTTTGAGACAGAGTTTCTCTGTGTAGCCTTGGCTGTCCTGGACTAACTTCATAGGCCAGGCTCACTTCAAACTCACAGAGATCTACTTGCTTCTGCCTCCCTGAGTGTTGGGATTATAGGCATGTGCCACTGTGCTATGCTGTGATTGCTTGTTATTAGCACCTTCCTGGTGTTTATTTCATTATTAAAAAAAAAACAACCCTGTAAAAAACATTTTTTCTTACTTCTTTCAGGCCCAACTCTCCCTCTTCAGTTTTTCTTAGGAAGCAAATACACCATTGGCTTTGATTGCTACCTTTCAACTTCCCAAACATGACATTCAGTATGGGACTTCCCATCCCTGACATTTATTGATGAGGAAACAAGAGTGCATAATGGTTAAGAATACAATATATCAATTTGGCAAGAGTTTTCAAATACTTGCCTTGCAACTGGTAGAATTATGACCAGTCATATCATCTCTTAAACCCCATTTTCCCCACCTACATAATAACCATTATACTTAGCAATCATTTATAAAAACTGTGAGGCTTAAATGAGATGCCTCTGTAGTGAGTTCTCACTGTCTGGCATATTATAATCCCTTAGTGAAAGTTATTTGTCTTTATTTTTAATTATTATTATCGTTAGAGCTAAGTATGGCTCTAAGTAAGGATGGCTGATTGGAGCAATAGTTGATTTAGGCTTAGTTTCTAAGTTCCCAGTAGAGACTGGTAGCAATAAGGGAGAGGGAGACCTTGGCCAGGAGTATTTCAGGGGCAAAATCTTGGCAAACCGCCACTGTGTCCATTTTCCTTGGCTAGTGTCTGGAAGCTCAATG